ACGCTGCTGGTCATGCCCGCGGTGTACAAGTGGTTCGCGCCGGCCGCGCCATCGGATGGCGGTGTGGAGGACCTGCCCGCCCCGGTCTAGCCTGAGGCCTTCCGCGGCGAATGAACGCCGCGGAAGGCCCATTCTTCGTCAGCGACGTCCGGAGGATCTAACCTATGCCGGAACTGACCAATGTCCTGCTCTTCGCCCTGCTGCCGGTCCTCGGCAACTTCATAGGGGCGATAAGTATCGAATTTCACGTCGCGTCATCGCGCATGGTCAGCCACGCGCTCCATGCTGCGGTCGGGGTCGTCCTGGCGATCGTGACGATCGAACTCATGCCGCGCGGACTCGCCGTGACTGAAAACTGGCAGACCGGCCTGGCGTTCGGGCTGGGAGGACTTGGCTATATCATGCTCATGAAGGCGGTCAGCTTCGTCCTAAGCCGACCGGGTTCGAACGCCGGTTCGAGCACATGGATGGTCTATATCGCCGTCGGCGTGGACCTTTTTAGCGATGGGCTCATGATCGGGGCCGGCAGCGCGGTTTCGCCCGGTCTCGGATTGCTGCTTGCCCTGGGGCAGTTGCTCGCCGATTTCCCCGAGGGCTATGCCACCTTCGCGAACCTCCAAGCCAGGAAAGTGTCACGCAAGACCCGGTTCGTGCTTTCTGCCGCGCTCGTCCTGCCCGCGACCATCGCCGCGCTGATCTCTTTCCTCGTGCTGCGGGATATGGCCGAATGGGTGCAGACTTCGGCACTTGTCGCGGTAGCGGGCATCCTCACGATCGCCGCTATCGAGGACATGATGGGAGAGGCCCATGAAAGCGCCGAAGACCGGACCGGCTCCATCCTGGCGTTTATTGGCGGGTTCGTTCTGTTCAGCCTGGTCACGACGGAATAGGAAACAGGAAGCGGTAGCTGGCTGTCAGGCCTGAAGCCAGGCTTCCGCGGCCGCGCGCTCATCGGTTTCGAAAAACTTCAGCTCGGCCTTGAAGAATGGATCGCTCAACGTGGTGCCCCAGTCCTGCCAGCGCTTGTCGCCGAGGATCGCGATGCGGTCCATCTGTTCCTGATGGCTGACGTCGAACTTCAGATCGGCCCAGAGACCCTTGAAGTCCCAACCCTCGAAATCTTTCAGCTCGATCAGCATTCGGACCTTTTCCTGGTCCGAGGCCGCCTCTTCGAACGGCACTGTCAGAGGAAACGGCCCGTTAGCAGGGATCGGGTGACCTTGGCTGAATGAGCAACCCGTTCCGCTACTTCAAAACCTCGCCCGAGATCATCCGCCTGGCGGTGATGATGTATATCCGCTTTCCGCTTTCGCTGCGGAATATCGAGGACCTGCTCCATGAGCGCGGGATCGACATCAGCCACGAGACGGTCCGGTATTGGTGGAACCGGTTCGGACCGCTGATGGCCCGCGAGATCAAGAAGCGGCGGTCGCACCAGCTTCGACAAGTGACCCAGTGGCGCTGGCACCTCGACGAAGTCTTCGTGAAGATCAATGGTGAGACCCACTATCTGTGGCGTGCCGTCGACCATGAAGGCGAGGTGCTGGAGTCGTTCGTCACCAAGACGTGCGACAAGGCTTCAGCATTGAAGTTCCTTAAGAAAGCGATGAAGCGATGCGGCAAGCCGGAAGAGGTCGTCACGGATCGCCTCAGGTCTTATGGCGCAGCCATGCGCGAGATCGGGAACGGCAATCGCCAGGTCACGGGCCGTCACGAGAACAATCGGGCTGAGAACTCACACCTGCCGTTTCGAAGACGGGAGCGGGCGATGGCGAGGTTCAGGCAGATGCGAAGCCTCCAGAAGTTCGCCGCCGCCCACGCGTCCGTCCACAACCACTTCAACCATGACCGCTCCCTCGAACGCCGGCCTCGCTTCAAATCCCTCCGCGACGCAGCCCTCGCCGAGTGGCGTCAGCTCCCGGCTGCGTGACGCCGCCCATCCTGATTTCTGAGACTGGTCCATATTTGTCTGACAGCACCCTTAGCCGCGCCTCGTTCGAAGCAGTAGAATTCACCCTTGGGATCGACCTCGGCAGGTGTTGGCTCGCCAAGCAGCCGGCACAAGTCGAGAAAATGCTCCTGCGCGGCCGAGCGTTCCTTGAGCTCGGAAGGTCGCCACTTGGCTATAAAATCCGCAGCTTCCATCAACCGGCATTTAATCCAAATCAGCGAACCTTTGCACATATCCGCGACAACCGAGGCGTTTATGTCAAGGCCCAACCATCTCAAGACCCTTGAAACGAAATATGCGCGACTGAAGGGATATTATTTTCATATCGAGCGGGAGGCTGAAGATTATGACGGTGCAGAGCTCGTCGATAAGCAGAACGAGATCTTTCGCCGGCAACAAAAGATCGCCGATCGAATGACAGCGATTGAAAAGACGATACAAATCTGGGACCCAGACTGGCTTGGCGAGGAGATCCGCCCAATCCGTGTCAGGCGGCAATCTCCCGTGAGAGAGCATCAATCAAAACTAATAAATGAGTTCATCTGGAATTCGGATGAAACCTTTACATCTACTGATGTTGTCGAATATCTGGACGAGAAATTCGCCGAACTCGGTGTAACACCTTTAAGCCGTACAAACTTATACAATGGGGTGATAAGTACTCTCCGGCGAAGAGAGGGTGAGATATTAGAACTCGTCGGGTCGGACCCACTCACCTGGAAAGTAGCATCAGATTACTCTGATTAGATCCGGATTTGATAATTCCTCGGTTTCCTGCGGTGCAATTGCATTCGTAAAAAATAAGCCATTGTGGCCACCGGACCTATATCGATTCTAAAAGCCTATATTAATACGAATTTGTTAATGCTTGAGTTATATTTACGCTGTTTATTCGTAGACAAGACATAATAGAATGTTAGTCAAAGAATACGTCTCCGAATCTTTCTCTCCGATAAGCGGCAGCATCTTCGTCGGTAAGCGAACCTGGTGCTACGATTGCCTCCTCAAAAGGTAGCCCCTGGTTCAAATTCAGCACACTTTTCCGAAGGGCGCAGTCGAAGCGGCCGCCACGCGTTCCTTGGATGATATCGTTGTCGATCTCATTGGTGCCCATTACGGCTAGGCATTCGCACATGAAGGCTGCGCTGAACGTGCCTCGTGCGATTTTGTTTCCAAGGGCCCGCTCATC